TGTGTCTTCCCTTAAAATGGCCATACTATAGAACTAAATTGTCTTCCTATTTGTTATGTCAAGTGAATGGAGCCCTGGGCTCCTCCTTTTGAATTTGGAGTCACAGAACACCTTGCAGTATGTTCCTAGCAAATAGAAGGGGACAAGGAAATGTCTCGCTTCTTTACCCCTGCCTTTCTGGTTAGTGCTCTACATCCGTGCAATCTCTGGGTGAAAGGAGATGAGCACATACTGGGGCCCATCAGAGGCTATGACCAACAGACTCCTCATTTATCTACTCACCACAGTGTAAATGATTCCTCCATCAAAAGAGCAGATTTCTCTAAAACTATCAGGAGAAGTTCCTTGATTAATTTCTATTGCTAGTCCTTGGCCTTTGGTTTCCTATAGTCTTCTGGTGATTACATCTTACTGGCTGTCTACTCTCATTCAAGTGGTAGGGGGTTTTAATTTACTCCACAAATGGTACTTGGTGTCTACCAAGCCCTGTGCTAGTCAGTGGGAAAGCAGTGGTGCTATCAAAAGGCCGCACATGCCCCATGGCACCATGTGAGAAAACGTATAATCAGAGAAGTAGCAGAGGACACACAACCCTCTTTCTCATCTGCCTTCAGCTGAGGCAAGTGTAGGCTGGGCAGAGCGAGTTGAACACACAAGCAGAGAGTTCCAGGAGAGGGATCCAGGCCCTGTTTCACTGGACATTATTTGCAGAGAAATAGAGAAAAGAAACACCTCGTTGATTGCCAGCAGCCTTAGTTATCACATGGAAGCTTATTAAAAATGCAGAGTCTTGAGCCCACCCCAGACCTGCTAAATCAGAACCTAGGTGATTTGGGACTCACAAGAGTTTGAGAAGCTCTGGTCTGGGGAACTATGTAATAATGGGAGCTTCCTGGATTAGTAAATGGCCTCATTATAATGTGGGAGCCCCCAAAGAGCAGTTGCTGATTATCAGCTTGCTCTTCCATTGAGCTAACTCAGACCTGTGGAGCCAGCTTGTTGCCAAGCTTCCAAAATGAGAGAGAAAATGAGCTTCCAAAGCCATTCATGCTTGTTTCTCTTAATGGAGTCTGGCAATTATAGACCAGGACCATAGTGATATACTCAGAGAAGCAGTGAGTGACATGGGGCCATGTAGGGTGGCCACTAACCCAGTCTTGATGGAAGAAGGACAGTTTCCTATAGAAAAGATGAGCTGATGAGCTAATCTTTTAGGTCGCAGGGCTGACAAGGAGCCTATGGGGTGGAGGGAGAGCAGAGATGGAGTTCCTTCCCTAGTCAATTCCACTGGGGAGTTGGAAGCGAAACTTACTCCTTTGCTTTCTTTTCCCCCAGAGCCATGGAGCTGTGGGAACCTCGGTCCCGACAGCAGGGCTGCTTGCTTTCTTGCTCTCGGTGTTTGCCCAAATGTCCTGGCAGATTTAGTGTCAAGGCCCCTTCTCTCCTTCCTTTCATCTTCAGTAACTCTGTGAAGGCCAAAAAAATAAACAGGGTGCATCCTCATTCTATAGACCCTGAAGAAGCACACGCACACTTGGGCTGAAGGAAATGTTTGTACGTAGCATGAAAATGGGTCTCTCTGAAAGCTAGGGTGTCTCGTTTTCATAGTCACAATGAATGAATGTTTAGTTTTCAAAGTAATTCACACTGGGAGCTCTAGCCCATAGGGTCTCGAACTTTTGCATGACATGGTGCACATTCAAAATGATCAGGTGTGTAGGGAACACTAAGGCAAATAGATAAGGCTGTTTGTGGTAGGAGATGATGGGCCTCGGGGTGGGCCAGATCAAGAATGTGGACTAAGGTGTTTGGATTTGATGTTAAAAGCAACAGAGAGCCACTGAATAGAGCCCCTAAGGTAACTAGGAGGACAAAAGAGATGGTGTGTGTGTGCCATTCAGTGGTTTTAGAAAAGTGAGCAGGATTTTGTTGGCAAGAGTTGAAAGGATTAGGAAGACCAGGAAATGGTATGGTGATTTGTTAGGAAGATGTTTTTATACGCCAGGGGCCAGTGATGAGAGCCTGGGGAACATAGTGGCAACAGAAGTCTGGAAATAGGATTTTTCTTCTTCCAGTTTTACTTAAGGAATTTTTCCATTGGAAAAATTCAGCCTTAATACCTGTTGAGCAAAACTTTATCACCAAGAGAGATACTAGTTTATTCAAATAAGAAAGAAAAAAGAAAAAGTAGAGTCATCAAGGAGACCTGTGCAAATATTCAACCTGGCCTATGGCTTTATCATTTCAGATATTTGAAGATATTCACCTTGGTGAACAACCCAAAATCCAAGAATTACTTAAGTGTACTGACAATATTTTCACATACATTTTTATCCTGGAGATGGGTTTGAAATGGGTGGCCTTTGGATTTCGGAAGTATTTCACCAGTGCCTGGTGCTGGCTTGATTTCACCATTGTGATTGTAAGTGTACCATCTCTCTTAAGGGGTAAAGGAGTGTGGTGTCTGCAACTTTATCTCCAGCAACTTAGGAAAAAAATAAGAGAGAAAATGACAAAGCTGATGGGGTGAAATGTTAATAATCAGTGTGTATTTCTTTTATTTTTAAAAATATATTTTTATTGATTTCAGAGAAGAAGGGAGAGGGAGAGATAGAAACATCAGTGATGAGAGAGAATCATTGATTGGCTGCCTCCTGCACTAGAGCCCACAACCCGGGTATGTGCCCTTGACTGGAATTGAACCAGGGACCCTTCAGTTCGCAGGCCGACGCTCTATCCACTGAGCAAAACCAGCTAGGGCCATCAGTGTGTATTTCTAAGAACAAAGATATTATCTCACATAGTCACGGTGCAATTTTGACAGTAAATTTAACAAGATCCAATACTAAAAAATCTATTTTCAGATTTTGTCAATTGTTGCAACAAAGTCCTTTATTTTCTGTATCCCATCCATCACATACCACACCCCAATCCAGTATCCAATTCAGGACCCCACATGACATATCATTGACATGACTCTTTGGTTTCCTTTAATTCACAACAATTTCTCAGCTTTTCTTTGTCTTTTATTAAACAACTAACGTAAATGCATCGTTCTTACCTGCACGAACTATAGTTTTGCCAGACAAGGAGGAAAGAGCCTCTCCACCTGTTCTTCCCCTTCCAGCAGTGTCTATGTGTCTGGATAATCCACCTGCCTCTTCGAATGAGGGCTCTCACCCCCACATTGTCTTCTCTGGGCATCCAGGCAGGCATACTACCCAGCAGGCTTCTCTTCCCACCAGGTGTCTGTGACTACTCTCATTGACTTAAAGGGCTTGAAATCCTTCCGGACTCTTCGCGCACTGAGGCCCCTGCGAGCTCTGTCCCAGTTTGAAGGAATGAAGGTACATTCTTCGGGTGCACGGGAGGGACTTTCTTCAGCCAGCAGGGAAAGGTGCAGCATTTCTCCCGGGGCTAAGAGGGCTTTCCTTAAATGGCCAAGCTTTTCTTGGTCTCCTTCTCATCCAGCCCATTGCTTAGAATTTGAGAAATGGAGAAAAGTGTAAGAGAAAGCCACCATCCTAAAAGAGCTTCTGTGACATGGACTGTGGCTTCCCTTTAATCCAAAGGCAGGTGTTCCATGAGTCTCCAACACCGTCATCAGAAGACACTTCTCAAGAGATCCTTAATGGCACCTGAAAGGACCATTACCTATGCAGCTGAGAGCAGGGCTTGTCGTGGAGTGTGGGGAGGGTTAGAGTGGCAGGTAAAGACAGGAGCTCTATGAGCCCCAGGCCTATCCTGGGACAAACAAGAGCATGATGAGTCTTATATCCGTTATGTTTTTCTTCTGTTTTGTTTCCTTAAGGTGGTAGTTAATGCTCTCATAGGTGCCATACCTGCCATTCTGAATGTTTTGCTTGTCTGCCTCATTTTCTGGCTTATATTTTGTATCCTGGGAGTAAACTTGTTTTCCGGAAAATTTGGAAGATGCATGAATACAACAGCTAACCCGGCTTTACTTATAAATTACACCATTATTGCAAACCGAAGTCAATGTATAAATGAAAATTTCACCTGGGACAACCTGAAAGTCAACTTTGACAATGTGGGAATGGCTTACCTCGCCCTGCTGCAAGTGGTAAGTGCTGTCAGCATGTTTGTCACTCTTAGGAAAACCATAAATTATTTCTCAATGAATAAACATACAGTGACTCCCCTTAGGTAATAGAATCAAATCCCAATTCCTCATGTGACAGCCAGTGCCCTCTGGAATTGCTCTTCACTAAGCATCTCCAACTTTATTGTCTACTGAGCCTCAACCTTCAAGTGATGCCCCTGTAGGGTCTGTCCCTCCTACTCTGCCATGGGTGGTGCCTTGTTCTTCAGAGCTCCAATCAGGGAGGAGAGGAACCTTGGAGGCCCGGCTGTGCCATTAGTAATGGTTTCTTGTTGGAAGTCAGTCCCAGGTCAAGCCACAGCTGCCAGGTCTTGGACTGACAGTGCAGACAAACATAGCATCAGGAGAAGCCTTAAACAGGCTCTTTCCAACAATTGATTTGTAGCTTTTCTAGCAGTTTTTAAGGCAGAACTTTCTTGTTTATAAACTTTATATTTTGTGTAAATTAATAATAAGAAAAATCCAAGACACCCATCCTTGCATTCCTTCCTACTGTCCTTTTACTTGGTCATTCTGTCCTGGAAGGGTGCTACATCACCTTACACACATCTGCCCACTGGCCTTGCTTGCTTTTGCCTGGCATCTGTCTGTTGGTGGCAAGCCTATAGTTGTGTTCATGTTTATATACTTTTTGTTGCAGGCAACATTTAAGGGCTGGACAGATATTATGCATGCAGCTGTCGATGCCAGAGAGGTGAGCTTGTGTTTTACCATGTTCTCAAGTGCTGGGGTCAAAACAGGGATGTTATGATTACATCCTAGCATGCTCCAAAGTCCAGTCCTCTTTCTCCATAGTGGCCAAGGAAAAACCACTCATGTAGGACATGGAGCCAGAAACAGCAACAGAATCACAGGATGCCTTGATTTTCTTCTCTCACCTTTTCTCCAAATGAGTGGGTAGGCAGAAGCCATTTTTCAAAGGGTTCTTGCCCTTGACTGTGGGAAAATTGTAAGATGGGACTAAGTGTGAGCACAACAACCCCTCTCATGGCTTCAGGCTCTCCCAAGACCAAAGGGGTTTCTAGTGATTGTCAACCGTTGAATTCTAGTTAAATAGAAAATGGTCATGGATTCCCAAAGTTAGAAGAATACTCAGAGATCTCATTTATCTCTATTTTCCAATTGGAAAATTGAGAAATTGAAAGGATGAGTTTTGTCCAAAGTCATACTGTGAACAGATGGTTGAATCAAGAATGGAATCAGCATTGTTTGTTTTTTCCTATCAGCATACACGTGTGTGTCTGATGTTCCATTTGAGAGTCTTTAGAGTTGATGTCTGGCACATAGTAGGTGTTCTTTACATGTGAGCTGGTAGTAGCAATAGAAGTGCTATGGGTAGTTATATGAGTAGTAGAGGCAATTTATAACCAAGGAAATATTTAAAAATATTAATGTGCTCATTTTTTTTGGTCTGAGTAAATGGCCTTCTTCTTAGTTTACTTTGAGCATCCATCTGCCTTGAGGTGGAGTTTGGGGATGGGGAGGAAATCTTATGCAGATGCGTGATAGAAAAGGTGTGTGACTCACATATGTGGGTGGAAGTATGTGGAGGGATATCTGTCCTGATGCTGGTCCTGGGACATTCTAGTTGATGTGTGCTGGCTTCTAGCATCATGGCCATTCTCTGTGTAGTTGTGGAGCATCCTGCTAGTTTCAAATATTAAAATTATAAGTGGTTAACAATGGGTATTTCTACCCCCTCAATTCTTCCTGGTCTCAAATACTGACTTGCTGCCATATTCCCCACACGGTTTCCTGGTCCAGCAGTCGACTCCATTCCTTGCTGTGAAGCCCACCATGGCCAAACACATGGCTGTCAACCCCATGTCTAAGTCACATGAGAACTGAAAAAAGTTTGAATGGCCTCTCTCTATCCCCAGTGTCTGATGCTTTTAGTCACACTTTGAGCTGGGGAGCTTGGTTTTAATTCATTTGTGTCCATTCTGGAGCTTGATCCTTCATTCATTCATTCATTCATTCATTCATGATATGCTACATGTCACAAGGTATGCTAGGCATCAGGGATTTAAGAGTAACAGGACATAAGCATAAACTAATTACGATGTGGGCTCTGTATGAAGGATGTAATTGTTCAACAAGAGTTGGCAGTTAGTCTGCCTCTGGTAGTCTCACCTCCAGTCTGACTTCCTCCCACGGCATTGTACCCTGAGCGAGGGGAAACTGAGGGGCTTTCTGCAGGTGCCATGGCTGTCTGGAGTGGGCTGAGGAGTTAATGCTGCTGCTGAGAAATACTTAGTCTTCTAGATGAGGTAGCTAATATGGCTTATATTTCTCTCCAGTAATTATTTTCTTCTCTCATTAAAAAAATTCCTAGAAGGAAGACCAGCCAGCATTTGAGACGAACATATACATGTACCTTTACTTTGTATTTTTTATCATCTTTGGCTCATTCTTCACTCTAAATCTCTTTATTGGTGTTATAATTGATAACTTCAATCATCAGCAGAAAAAGATAAGTATCGGGGTTGTCCTGGTTTGGTATTTTACTTCTCTTCTCCAAAGCACTTGAGGGAAACATAATTCTGGTCTAGATGGTTGTGCAAAGTAGCCTTTATCATCAGCATGAGAACAAAGAGGGGGCCACCTAGAGACAAAGCTTGGAGATGTGGCTGCAAAGGGACTAAAAACAACTGGGTTTTATTAAACCATTGTTTTATTTCTCCATTCTACTCTTTAACACAAAGGACATTGTTGAACACTGATAAAAAGGCAATTACCAGGATCAGTATTTATGACACTACAGTGATATTTTAGTAATCTTTCAAGTGTATCTTGTTACCCAGAATAAAAAGAATACTCTCTATAAAAACAAACAAACAAATAAGTAAATGAATGAATAAATAATTTTAAAAAGCCTTAGCTGGTTTGGCTCAGTGGATAGAGTGTCAGCCTGTGGACTGGAAGGGTCCCAGGTTCAATTCTGGTCAAGGGCACATACCTGGCTTGTGGACTCGATCCCCAGTAGGGGGCATGCAGGAGGCAGCCAATCAATGATTCTCTCTCATTGATGTTTCTATCTCTCTCCCTCTCCCTTCCTCCTCTCTGACAATAAAAATAGGAAGAAAGGAAGGGAGGGAGGGAGGGAGGGAGGGAGGAAGGAAGGAAGGAAGGAAGGAAGGAAGGAAAAAAAAGAAAAAGAAAGGAAAGAAAAAATACTCTCCCCTATAGCAAACTGTGTTCTGGCTCCCAACACCCAAATTCAGCAGATTCATTGGAACAACTGGAAAAGAAGATGGTTGGGGAAGAGGCAGATTGTTTTAGGGAGGTTCCCCATGCATTGTAATAAACATGCTTTTTTTCCTGATTTTTACTGTTCATAGTAAATGTGGAAGATAAAAAGAAAATTTAAATCATCCATAAGGTGACCACCAAATGATTGCCATTTGGGATTAAGCCTCATCACTTTGGTACAATCCCTTCCAGTTACTTCCCAACTAAATATGTATTCCTTTTACATGCATGATATTTTTAATTTTGTAGCCCCCACCCCCTTCTCATTAGTCATGAGCCCATGCCATGAAATCATCTTTGTTGTAAGAATTTTGGGCGCTGAATTACATCCCATACTATAGATAGATCATAATTTATCCTGATCATTTTCCCCTTGCCTAGATATTTAGTTCAGTTCTAAATTTCTTGCTCTTCTAACACTGTCACAAACATTCTTGAATTTCTCTCTGTATATCTGATTATTTCCTCAGGATAAGTTCTTAAATTTAAGGCATTAAAGATATACTATATCAAATAACCTTTTAGAAACAGTGCTGGGTATACTCCTTTTGCAAGATAAGAAAATGCCTCTTTGTTCTTTTCTCATCATTCTGGTTTTTATAATTTTTTAAATCTTTTCTAGCTTGATGGATAACAGTGTTATCTCATTGCTTTATATTCATTTACTTGATTGTTTGTGAGGTTATACATGGTTTCACAGGATGGTGGCCATAAGTATTTTTTTCTTAAGAGTTATGTTTTTAGACTTTGTCTCTTTTTAAAATTGAGATTATCATCTTTTTCTTATATTTTTATATAGTAAGTCCAATTTGTGACCTGCTTCTTGTATTTTTGTAGTGACCTTTTTGACTTACAGACATTTAGCATATTCATGGAGTCAAACTCCCAATCTTGACCTTTTTGACTTCTTCTCTTGCATTTCTGAATTCTAAAACAGGTAACTAAATATTATTCATCTTCGGTTTTCCCAGTTTTGGGATGCTCTTTTTTAATTTTTCTGTTGAACTTTTTTAACCCATCTAGAATATACCTTGATACTGATGAGCCCTCCTAGTATCTGCAGGGAGAGCCAGTCACTACCCTTATGCAACTATTAGTCACTGCTGTTACTCGGGAGTGTGCTATGTGGAGTCATCTCTGTAATGTGCAACTTGATTGCAATCAATACCTGCAATTTGGGTGTCAGGCCTTATGATTTTAGGTTTCAGCTTACATTTGAAATCACTATTCTGATTAGTCTATAGCAGTTTTGTCTTGTTTTACTTTTTATTACAGAAAATTTCAAACATGCACAAGAGTATACTAAAATGAACCCAAACTACCTATCACCCATTACAACATTTATTGCTTTAAGAACATCCGTATGCTATCTGTGGCCTCACCCAAACCTGCCACTGGATTTTTTTTTGTAGAACTAATCAGACTCATCATATCATTTCATCCACAGATATTTGAGAACATAGCTCTTTTTAAGCATAGCCCCAAATCTATTATCTCACCTAAAAAGATGAACATGAATTCTTTAAATTTGTCAAATACCCAGTCCATGTTCAAATTTCCTCCAGTCTTTCATTTTCTTAAAATACTTATTTGTTCTTTCACTGATTAAATCATGTGTATTAAAGTTTGTTTCTTTTCAAATCAGGATTCAAATAAGGTCCTCCCATTTGACAGCTTCCTCGCTCCCTGGAATAATGAGATGTGCCAGGCCTAGTCAGACCCTTCCTGTCCCCGAGCTGGAACCAGCCATTTCTCTGAGGAGTGCTGGGTTTGTTATGTGCGGTGGTGTTCCAAGACCGCCGTTGGGAATGCTCATGGTCTTTGCTTCAAGGCTTCTTCAGTGGACAGAGCTACTTCACATTTAGGACTCCTGGGAGATATACGTGGAAATATGAATGCTGATCATTCAAATTCAGGACCCTGAGGTTCTCATTTAACGGATACTGTACCTCCTCTCCTCCACACTGAGAAACCTGGTTCTCATGGGCACAGGAGATGATAGCAGTACAATTTTCCATACTTACTCATTTTCTTTATCCCACAGCACGCACCTAGGACAGGCTCAGAAAAACAGTGTTAATACTATCATAATGCATATGATTACTGAAGACACTTGTGTCTGCCAGGCATCCTGAAACAACCTGATTAACTTCTGGGGCTCTGTTTTTATTTTATTTTTACTTTGGTACAATACACATAGCACAATTTTTTTTTTTTTACTGTTCATCAGATTATTTATTCACTTGATTTTTAGATTCACTTGTTGATAGATGTGTATTTGTTGTTCATAATTTGTATCTTTACCTTTTTCTTCTTCTTACACTCCTCTGGGGCTAGACTTGCTTCGATGAGGCTTTGGTGCTCACTCCATAGCACAAAATTTACCATCTTAACCATTTTTATTGTACAGTTCAGTGGTATTAAATACATTCATCACCACTATCTATCTTCATAACTCTTCTCATCTTGTAAAATTGAAACTCTGTACCCATTAAACAATAACTCCCATCCTTCATTCCCAGCCCCTAGCAACCACTCTTCTACTTTCTGTCTCTATGACTTTGACTACTCTATCTCATATAAGTGAAATCATACAGTATTTGTCTTTTCGTGACTGTCTTATTTCATTTAGCATAATGTCCTTGAGTTCATTTTGTTTGTTTATTTGTCTTATTTGTTCATTTGTTGCTTTCTGTTTTATATTTACATGTGAGTGAAGTCATACGGTTCTTGATTTTTTTCCATCTGACTTACTTCGCTTAGCATGATATTCTCAAGATCCATCTATGTTGTCGGAAACGGCAGTATTTCATCTTTTTGTATGGCTGGGTAGTATTCCATTATATATATGTATAACATCTTTATGCAATCATCCATCAAAGGAATGGAAATTGGTACAGCCACTATGGAAAACAGCATGGAGGTTTCTAAAAAAAATTACAAATAGAGCACCATATGACCAGCAATCCCTCTTCTGGGTACCTACCCCAAAAATTTGAAAACATTTATTCATAAAGATATATGTATCTGTGTTCATTGCAGCATTATTCATGCTGGCTAAGACATGGAAACAACCTAAGTGTCCTTTGATGATGCACTAAATTTTTATGAAGTTTATTTTTTCTTCTACCTTTGGTGTCATACTAAAGAATTTATTGACAAATCCAATGTGATGAAGCTTTTGTCTTGTTTTCTTCTTAGAGTTTTGCTGTTTTAGGTTTTATATTTATGTCTTTGATCCATTTTGAGTTAATTTTTATATATGGTGTCAGGTAAGGATTCACCTTTATTCTTTTGCATGCAGATAACCATTTTCCCAGTCCAGTTTTCCCAGTCTTTGAAAAGGCTGACCTAGGCCTGTATATTTTTGGTCCATACTGGTGGTGTAAATTCAAATCCCATACCCACATCAAGGCAGGCCTGGATTCACAAATTATCAGGGAAGATTAGGTTTTTACCCATAGTGCACACTGAGACAGCTTCCTAGTTCTCTTTCATTGCCAACAAATTCTGTCGTCTTCACCTCTTCATTGGCAGCACTCGGAAAGTCCAGATTCATCCAGGGACCTCAGCAGAAGCCCACTGCCTTTTCTCCCATGACCCCTTGTGTTTATTAAAACCCAGGATTCTAGTTTGTTTTACAGAGATTAGAAAATGCTCCTAGACCAATTGTGGCTTTAGAACTAATTTACTGCTCTGTCTTATTTTTTAAAATCTCTCTTGATTTTCAGACCCTGGAGATTTTCCTTACGTTGGTAAGGAAAATGGTATTGTTCAGCTATACAATTTAAAGGAATTCTCTTCTGTTTTATCCAGGATGTCTAGATATTTTACTTTAAGTCCTCTAAAACTTTCAGAAATGAAAAATCTAGTTCATTTTTCTATTCTTTCTTGCTCAATAGTGAAAACCCTTAAAGCTGTCTAATTTTTATTTCTGAAAATGGCTCTGGACAGATTCTGTGAAATTTTATTAGTAGTCATCTATATGTTCATTTATTTAGGAGAATTTTAATTGCCATTGAGTGGCATTTTTTGTTTAAATTGTGTCACTCATTTATATTTTTGTTGCACTGTGGTTTGATTTATGCAACCTGAAATATTTCCAGTTTTGTAAAGATTCTATAGATGTTTGTAAATAATTTTTTTATCTTTGTTTATATTCTAAAAAATGAAATGTAATTGTAATATTTCTCTCCTATTCCTTAATTTAAACCCGGGTTCCTTTCAGCCCTCCCCTAGAGTCCAGCCTCTTTTGCTTCCCATTGCAATTTTAGGAATTAATGATAGACGTGGGATATAATTTTATTTCTGACAATTTAGAACGTGTTTCTAAAACTCTGTTAATAATTAACTCTCCTCTTCTTCATATACTTAGGTGGCCAAGACATTTTTATGACAGAAGAACAGAAGAAATACTATAATGCAATGAAAAAGTTAGGATCCAAAAAACCTCAAAAGCCCATTCCAAGACCTCTGGTAAGAGAAGTCATTTATTCTAAATACACAGCTCATTACGTGGTTATGAGGATCTCAGATGTCAACACTGATCCTCTTCCTTAATTTTTAAAGTTTACAGACTTTTTCCAAGAACAATAAAAACCCAGATGTACAGGTGTATGGCTCAAGTCCTTAGGAAAATTAGACACTCATATTCAGTAGTAAGAGTCTGGGTAACAACTGTAGCTTTTTAGTGAGCACACAACAGGTACTTAGTATATGCTCATTGCAGTGATGAGATGTTAGCAGACTTTTTTTTTTCATTGAATTTATTGGGATAACATTGGTTCACAAAACCATCCAGGTTTTGAGTGTACAACTCAACCAAACATCATCTGCACACTGCATCGTGCACCCATCCCCCCAAGCAAAGTCTCCTTCCGTCTCTATCTCCTCACCGCCTGTGCCCACCTCCACCTACCCCCACCCCCTTTCCCTCTGGCTGTCACCACACTGTTGTCTGTGTCTGTTAGCCGACCGTTTTAATTTCATCTTGACTAGTTTAAAATGTATTTATAATATATTTTGTCCAATTTTTCTGCTGTGAAGTTGAGGCCATGCATACTCCCTTTCACTTCACAGATGTTTATGATAGACTTTCTGTGTCAGGCATTGGCAAGCATTTCCTGTTAAAGGTCAGGCAGTAAATATTTTCGGCTTTGCGGGCCTTATGGTCTCGGCTGCTACTGCTCTCTCTGCCGTTGTGCCAGAAAAGCAGCCACAGACGACACAGAACATACGTGCATGACTGTATTCCAGTACACCTTAATGTAGAGACACTGACACTTGGATTTCATATATGTTTCATATGTCAACACTTTATTCTTTTGAGGTTTTTATCAAACATTTAAAAACATAAAATCCATTCTGAGCTCCCAGGTTATACAAAAAACAGGCGGTGGGCCAGATTTGCTCTATGGGCATAGTTTGCTGATCCTGCTTTAACTGGTATGAAAGGGCTGCTCAGTGCTCACAGTCTAATCGAAGGGCTGGGATTTGAGAGCATTTGATTATAAAGTAATACAACAAGCACCGTTGGTAGCTCAGACAAGCGAGTTTGAAGACTTTCAAGGTGGAGAGGGTCAGCGGGGGCAGCAGAATGGAAGAAGGGTTTGAGAATTGAAGTGTGTGGAGGATTTTGAGATTTTCATTTGAACATAGATCCCAAAGTATCAAAAGTGTGTTAAATTTACTGCTATTCCCAGCACTCAGAATAGAGCCTGGCATCAAGTGTGTCCTGTATGTGTGTGTGTGTGTGTGTGTGTGTGTGTGATATTTATTTATTTATTTATTTATTTATTGTCTAAAGTTTACATATGTCTCCTGTTTCCCCAATTGACCACCTCCTGTATATGCCTTTTTTATTTGTTATTTCATCCTCACAACTCAAAGTGATCTATGATTTCTTTCTTTTTCTCTCTCAGAACAAATGCCAGGGTCTCGTATTTGACCTGGTCACAAACCAGTTCTTTGATGTCTTCATCATCATCTTCATTCTCCTCAACATGATTAGCATGATGGCTGAGTCATATGAGCAGTCTAAGACCATGAAATCCATCCTTGAGAATCTCAACCTGGCCTTTGTGGTCATCTTCACAATTGAGTGTCTCGTCAAAATCTTTGCTTTGAGGCAATACTACTTCACCAATGGCTGGAATTTATTTGATTGTTTGATCGTGGTCATTTCTATCGTTAGTAAGTAAAATCAGCAGCCAGAGGGGTGTGAATCTGAGAGCCAGGAGTAAATTTGTATTATTATTTGGAAGTATGTCCAAACTATCCATAAAGCAACAAATGAGGCTTAATGTGATTTCTGAAAACATAGGTGTGCTCATGCCACTCTTTACTGGGAAGTTGCTAGGTGATAGAGTAATTTCCATTCCCTCGACTGTCTACCCAATTGGAGTAGAGAGGTAAATAATAATGTAGGCCATTTATTCAATGGAGATAGACAAAATTAAGGTGACTTAAAAGTTTCTGTGGGGTTACCTGGTTAATCTTGGTAACTGAGTCTGAGTTTTACCTTCCCTGTGAAAATAACTATAAGCCCTAATGAACATTATATAACTTTAAGGATTTGGCATTTAGTTTCCATATTTTTCTTTAGTTCAAAATCCATGTGATGTCAGATGACAATTATTATGCCCCTTGACATTGTCAGGCCTTCCCTCACCTCCTATGCAAGGCCTCTATGACCGATCCTAGACTGGGCTTCCACAGGTGTGTCTATGGCCAAGCAGTACTTTACTCTGTATCGGGGGTCCTCAAACTTTTTAAACAGGGGCCAGTTCACTGTCCCTCAGACCGTTGGAGGGCCTGACTATAGTTTAAAAAAAAACTACGAACAAATTCCTATGCACACTGCACATATCTTATTTTGAAGTAAAAAAACAAAACAGGAACAAGTACAATATTTGTATTTGCATGTGGCCCGCGGGCCATAGTTTGAGCCTCTTTACTCTGTATCGTATGTTAACTTAAACCACAGCGTGAACTATGCTTGTCTCTACTGCTTGGACCCCATTCACCAGCTAGGCTCACTCTATAATCAGTATATTTTCCCTAACCACTGGCAGGATTAACTATAAGATTTATGAAAGAAGAATGGGGTGGGGGAGAGGGTTATTGCCATATACCTTTAATCTTCATGCTTAACCATCGAGTTTATATTGTATGTTAACTTAAACCACAGCGTGAACCATGCTTGTCTCTACTGCTTGGACCCCATTCACCAGCTAGGCTCACTCTATAATCAGTATATTTTCCCTAACCACTGGCAGGATTAACTATAAGATTTATGAAAGAAGAATGGGGTGGGGGAGAGGGTTATTGCCATATACCTTTAATCTTCATGCTTAACCATCGAGTTTACTCTGAGTTTTTGAAGTCTGCTTTTAACTAAACCAATAATTTGACTTTTTATAATTGTGTAAAATTGCAAGGCCCCTTCTTATAGTTCAAAAAGCAGTGGAAGCAATAACAACGGATTTCACAGGTGGAAGCTTTTGTGCTATTTCAGAAAGGATGCATTAAACAGATATTTTGGATAAAAATATTTTGGTTTCTATCACTGCAGCAGTACCACTTTTCAGAGGGCAAGTTCATAGGCTATTCTGGCTTCTAGGCCATGTAGATAAAGTGTACCAATAGATCCTTCCATGTGCTTACAGTTACATAGATCTTTAATTTTTATTAGTCATTTCCAATCATAAATCCTGGTAAAATTGACAGAAGCAACTGTGTTAGAAAGTGGTGGTTGGATGATTCTGGGGCAGCCCTCTTGTAGCTTACAGAGCCCGTTCTCCACTATGCAGGGAGCAGCTCGTTCACTCCACTCTATTGAACTCCTTCCAGGCGTTGCCAGGCATCGTACAGTTTGTGGAAACATCTCTGACTTCCGTCCCTTAAACAAATATTAGGCAATTGCAGTTACACTGCAGGTTAATCACAAAAACAATATGTAATTATATATGTGTTTTCCGATGGTCTTAGGCGACCCCTGTGAAAGGGTTGTACGACCCACAGGTTGAGAACCACTGCCTTAAAGAGTCAGAAACAGAGAAATTAATTGAACACCAAAGTACATGGTACACAGATGATTGATCTCAGAGATGGGACAGATTACTGTGGACTTGATTACTTAAAGAACTCTTCCTGGAGGAGGTGGGCCTTAAAGGATGGACCTCCTCCAGTGGTTGCTAAATTGGTACTTAATGAATTCCACATCTCACCAGGGTTGGCTGCCCAACTAATATGTGAATTAAACTTCTTGGGCACAATTGGGCAGTCAGTGAAACATGCCATCAATTAGTTCATTTTAGTCATTAGGCGATGGCAGATAGTTTTGGCTGCCTATTACCCTGAAGGACCTTAGAGGACCACCATAGCAAGGCCATGACTACACGTTCCAACCATTCTATAATATCGGGGCCAAAATGTGAGTTGTCTTAAATCTTTGTTTCACTTGCCCACAGAGTAGGCAATGAGAGAAGAGAGTGACATTTTAGGCAGTTTTCAGAAACCTCTGCTTGAGATGCCATTTCTGAGTGTCTACCACAACAAAGAAAGTATCTCTAATTTAGTCCCTGAAATTTTTTGAGTTTGGACTCAGGAGTCCTTAGAATTAACATATTAACAAACATGAGAGATCCATGGCAGCTTTAGCCCAAAGATGAGCATCCTAACACTACCATCTCGTGACCATACCTATGGCAAGCTGTGTTCAAATTCCTCTGTACCCGTGGTCGGCAAACTGCGGCTCACAAGCCACATGCGGCTTTTTGGCCCCTTGAGTGTGGCTCTTCCTAAGCCTTAGGAGTACCCTAATTAAGTTAATAACAATGTACCTACCTATATAGTTTAAGTTTAAAAAATTTGGCTCTCAAAAGAAGTTTCAATCATCGTACTGTTGATATTTGGCTCTATTGACTAATGAGTTTGCCGACCACTGCTCTATGCAAATAAGATTCTGTTTCTTTAAGGAATTTTGAGGTTAGGTTTCCCACAATTTCTACTGATAACTCAGGCTCAAGCCAACCTTCATTAGCAGAAATTTCTCTTTATACTCTAATCTAAAAAACTCCATCTATAGTTCATCTGTTTTCCACTCTATACATCCAATAAATGTGGAAAACTATTATATTATTACCCCACAAATGACTTTAAATGCCCAACACAGATAATATATTTCAAGTTCATGAGATAACTCACAAAATAGCCTTTCATAAGCTACATTTTCTTTCCTTTCCTCGAGTCTTTAGTATTTTAGACATCCTATCCCGAGCCTTTCATAAGCTACATTTTCTTTCCTCGAGTCTTTAGTATTTTAGACATCCTATCCCATCTAAGGTCCCACCTAAAACTGTATGGCCCTTGGAAATTATTTTCCAAGTTAAGGTACAGATAGATATTTCCCCTTATATGGGTAAAGAAAATTCTTAATTTTGTGCATAAATTAAAAGGTATTGATAAAAGTCAGTCCCACTAAGATTCCAAGGCAGGCGAGACAGTCTGGTCTGAAATGAGGCCTGCTAGAAATGGACTGACTCTTCTCCTCTTCCTCAGGTACCATGATTTCTCTCTTGGAAAACCAGGAGCACATTCCTTTCCCTCCGACACTCTTCAGAATTGTCCGCTTGGCTCGGATCGGCAGGATCCTGAGGCTTGTCCGGGCGGCACGAGGAATCAGGACTCTCCTTTTTGCTCTGATGATGTCTCTTCCCTCTCTGTTCAACATCGGTCTTCTACTCTTTCTGGTTATGTTTATTTATGCCATTTTTGGAATGAACTCTTTCTGTAGAGTGAAGCAAGACTCTGGAATTGATGACATATTCAACTTCGAAACTTTTGCAGGCAGCTTGCTCTGTCTCTTCCAGATAACCACCTCAGCAGGTTGGGACACCCTCCTCAACCCCATGTTGAAATCTGAAGCTTTATGTGACCCCAACAAAGAGAACTGTCACCTCTCTACCATAGCCATAGCCTACTTTGTCAGTTACATCATCATCTCCTTCCTCATTGTTGTCAACATGTACATTGCTGTGATTTTAGAAAACTTCAATACAGCCACTGAAGAAAGTGAGGATCCTTTGGGTGAAGATGACTTTGAAATGTTCTACGAAGTCTGGGAAAAGTTTGACCCAGAAGCCACACAGTTTATCAAATATTCTGCCCTTTCTGACTTTGCCGATGCCCTTCCTGAGCCTTTGCGTGTGGCCAAGCCAAATAAATTCCAATTCCTAGTAATGGACTTGCCCATGGTAAGTGGAGATCGCCTCCACTGCCTGGACATTCTCTTCGCGTTCACCACGAGGGTACTCGGTGACTCCACTGGCCTGGACAGCATGAAAGCGATGATGGAGGAGAAGTTCATGGAAGCCAACCCTCTGAAGAAGTTATACGAACCCATAGTCACCACCACCAAGAGGACGGAAGAGGAGCGATGCGCTGCTGTCATTCAAAAGGCCTTTCGAAAGTACATAGTGATGGTGAAGACGAACAAGTGTGCCTTGGAAGACAGGCCTCATTCACCACTCCAGACACTCTGCAATGGAGACTTGTCTAGCTCCGGGGTGGCCGAGGGCAAGGTCCACTGTGACTGAGCCCCTCACTGCCACCCCTACCTTACAGCCTCACAGTCTGTGAGCACCAGGGACCCACAGCCCAGTGTGTGAGCAAACAGTGGACTCATAGTTATTCCATTTTCTTGGATAAAAGAAGTGCTATTTCAGGGTTCACTTCAAATGGTTTCCACAGTGCTGTAAGATGAGGCTGCCTGACCGTAACCACTGTACTGTTTTAACTAGAAAGGGCTGTAGAGGACACACTAATGTTAGGATTGAAACACAGTTCGAATTATGTCAAAACAAAAGAATAAAAAAGAAACAAAAAACATTAAAATTTTTAATTGTTTTTCCATATGTTTTGAGGTACATTATCTAATATCTTCGTTTAATGTTTTCCCCAATGCAAGTATGGGGGGGGCTTATCACATAGAGCTCTTTTGCATGCTAAGTGAAAATTCAAAACCTGCCAATAAAAAAATAGCTCACTGAAGATATTTTTACCAACATTAGATATTTGAAGTTTATTTCAAACACAAAAGCATGATCTTGACTTGTCAATTACCACCATATCTTTCACCAGCTGCAATCTCTGTTATATATATTTGGATAAATAAACAAACAAACAAATGAGGCTTTCATTTTGCATTTTATTCAGAAAGTACACTAAAAAGCCTATTGTTTGGTGGTTGTGTAAGCAATGGTTTAAATGTGGTGCTTGGAATTAAAGGTGGAAACAAAGGGTGAGGGTGAAGGCAGGTTTGGGGGTTGGGGGGGCAATGGGGGGGTAATACCTTAATCGATAAAAATAAATAAATAAGCAGTCCACTAAAAAATAAAAAAAAATTAAAGGTGGAAACAAGTGGTAAAATAAGCAGTTCACTAAAAAACAAAAAATAAAAAAAAATTAAAGGTGGAAACAAGTGGTATACTTATAAGGGTCTAACAGTTGGCTCTTCAGGAAAAAAAAAGAGCCAGGATTTGTAGTATTTGCTGATCTCTGTGACGAATACCTCCATCCTGGCTGATTTCAAGCTACTGACATGATGTCTCTGCAGATGGAGTTGGGAAGGAGTGTCCAGCATCTGGTCTCACAGGCTGGCCCGAGCTGGCCCCAGCTCATTGGAACCAATGAGAAAGGCTCCTGTGACTTTGGTAACAAATATGCAGCGGGCCCCTTCGGTGGAGAGAGCACCTCTCAGCAGCACCTGGACCCCGGGGTGCAGACGCCATGGGACATGGTGGTTAGTTGGTGGCCTTAGCCACCTGATGGACCCTACACTTAGCTCTGGCTGAATGTCTGCTTGAAAAGCAGCCCAGAGAACAACCCAGGCCCATCAAGAGGGCCTGGCCCAGGGGTAGCTCAGGACCTCCCTAAAAACCGAGACACCCCGAGGCCAAACAAGACATTAGGCCGGCAGCCCCCAGAGCCTGGACTGGGGGCAAAGAACCTACATTGTGATCATCTAAGTGTGGAGGGAACCCCTGCAGAAATATCCCTGGAGCCCTGTGCCTCACACAGCCTGGAGGAGCTGATGTTTCTACCGGCAGCCTGGGGTCTGAGGGTTGAGCCTCTGTCCCGTGGAGGGAAAGCTAGTGCCGGACGCTGTGGCACACCGAGGGGCGATCATTTTCAATGTGTGCAAGATCTCATCATGACACAATGTGTTCATGGGCCTGGGTTTCCTGAGTTTTGCAGCGTGTGCAAGATCTCCAATGTGTTCATGGGCCTGGGTTTCCTGAGTTTTGCAGGCAGCCTTGTGTTCTGGAGCGTTGGCAAAACCAATAATCGCATTATCTAATCATTGTCAATATCTAATTTTTACTTAGTGGCTGCTGTGCACCAGGCACTGGCTAAGCATTTGTCATGAGTAATCTCATTTGACCCTCACAATAATCCGGGGAGTGTGCGGTCACTCGCCTGGTGGAGCCTGAGCTTGTGTGCTGTGCTGGGAAGGGGGAGGGGGTGTCCCAGAAGCAGTAAACCTTTGAGGCGCGGCCACAGGCCCCCCATGAAGGGCTATGGGGCCGTGGAAATCACCGTTCTAATGTGGCCAGTTCTGCCTGCAGCATTGGGGATGGCCTATGTATTCCATAAGGGCTGTCTCAGATTACGAACTCTGGGTGTCTTACAGATCCCTACCAAGTTATCTGAAATAGATGGCTGGCCATCGTTCCAACAGGGATACCTCCTAGGTGGAGGCAGCGGGGGATCTGGGAAGGTACGGTCTTGCCCATTCAGATAACAATTTAGGGGCTTAGATATGATCTGTTCTGGGCAGAAGCTTTGGCCCTTCCCGCGGACACCTGTTCACCCCCAGATGTCGCCTTTGGCCAGGGCTGGATTCCTGGAGCCAGCTCCTGGCGAGAGCACAGGGTCTGCTTGGCTTTTGCGAGAGGCTGAGCCATGCTTTGTTCACTAGAGGGCAGCAAACGCCTGACCATGAGCCTGACGGTCAAAGAGCCCGAGCAAGGGGACAGGAAATGTGAGTTATCCAAGCGCATACTCCCCAAAGGTAGCTCTCACTGTGCTGGGACCCAGGATGCCCCCAGGAGGCAGAGAGGCTGGGCTGAGCTCTGCCCTGCAGGGCCCTGCAAACCCCTACAGCCCCTGAAGCCAGTCTCTTCTCTGAGTCTGCTCTTCTCCGGGCACATCAGCCCCTGCTCATCCAATCAACAGACGTGCCTGAGGGCCATGTGGTACCACCTTGTGTAAACTGCTTCTTACGTCTGGTCCTTAACCTCAAGTGCGTACATGCTAATGGGGGATTTAGACAAGTGTTCATGGGATGATAATACAATGCAGTATGACCAGTGCCATCAACCACGGATGGGGCTCTGCTCTGAGAGTGTGAATGGAGGCAGGCTCATGGGGACACCAGAGAGAGGAGCATCAATATGAGCTCAGTAGATGTGGGGGACTGTGATGGGGAGGGGTTTGGGGGCGTGTCTGAAGTGGAGGAGACAGTGCAGGGTGGAAGGAGTGTAGAAAGTGAAGGAAGTGCAGCTGCAGAGTACGGACAGGGGACCGGCAGCAGCTGAGTCTTAGCTTAGCCATGGACTGCTTCGTGGGGAGCCTGAACAGCCGGCGAGGAGTTACAACAGATTGAGGTACCAGGGAGGCACTGACGGTGTTTGGGCGTGGGAGGAAATCAGACAGACAGTATCAGGGCAGAGCAGAGGAGAGACCAGAACACTGATCCCGGTGGGGAAGAGGCCTGAGTGAGGAGGGAGGCAGGGGCACTGCTGTGACTAGGATGCGTGTGCCCAATGACTGGCCTGGGGGTAGGAGTCCAGGGGGAACCTTTATTTTCAAGGGAAAATTAATTCATTTTGAAGGTTTAACCCGTTAACTGCCACGCTATTTTGAATTAATTAAAAAAGGCCCGCCGCTCACGTCTGTAGACGCTTACGGCGTACAAATGGTTCATATGCCAGGTCCACATGACAATGTCCAACCAGGCCTGGAACCTGAGGACAAGGCATGGACAGGAGTCCTGAACACAAGAAACCCCCAGCAGCAGAAAAAATCAAGGAGAAGCAAGCATAGCCAGGCCTAGAAGGAGGCAGAGGGCTCATCCTGTGGGCACACTCTCAGGGACCAAAGATGAGGAGTGTGACAGTTCAGAGGCGGGTGTGGGGAGGTAGGTGAAGGTAAACACCACGCCATGCAGTGTGGGCACAGAGCAGGCTTCACTAGAAATTCACAGCCGACAAGATGAGGTCAGGGTCCCCCCCTTTTCATCCCTTCCCCCCAAGAAGCGTGCAAGGAACCTGGGCACAGCAGGTCATGTTCCAGGAAAATTCCCACTCTCTCTTCCTCTACTTCTTTGTTGAGTCAGCATGGGAGCTTGCCTCATAAACAACCAGGCTCAGGAGGCAGCTGCTCCCCACCTCCTC